ATATATATATATATATATGCATATATATTAATCTGTATGAAAGTAATGGTGGATAAGACACTTTTATTTTTATTTTGTATATTAAAAATATTTAATAGCGTTGTTTCTTGCATAACGAACACTTTTTGTATTTCTGATCTTAAAAAGATATATTGTGTACTGTTATTCCAATATACTGCCGAATGGTGGCGGTACAACGCGTTTGTTTCCTCCGTTAAATTTCCAAAGAAGAAGGCGGGCGAAGGATTCTGGTGCGCTGATTGGTTAAATCTAGTGAAGGGGGCGGGGTTTTCATCTTTTGAAAAATAACCGTGCTTGACCGGACAGGCGCCATTGTTGAGGAGTTTACAGAGCTGTGGTGATGTATTGAAGGAAATTAGTTTATCAAAACGCCTTATATTGGGCCAGAGAATAGACTAAATAAGCCCAGACGTGGATTAACTGCTGCACAACACATTAGGTAAGTTAAATAAGTTTAATTTGTTTATGTCCGTGTATTGCTTTTTGAAAGGGAAACGCATTCAGGAAACTCGAGTGTTTTTTTTCCATCCAGAGTATATCCAGTGCTTTTGCTAGTTTTATATCGACGCGTATGTTTGTTGATGAGTCTAATGGTTTGATGTCAGAAATGGCACAGCGTGTTGCTGTGAACGATGGTGCTCCTGGGTCCAAACGGACCTCTCGGGTTCGTGTGGCGGTTCGGCTCAGGCCCTACATGGACAAGCAGGATGAGAAGGGAGAGGGCCCCTGTGTCAGGGGTCTGGGGCCCCAAAAGCTGGAGATCATCAACTGGAGGAACGCCACTGAGACCCTTCAGTACCAGTCAGTAGTCCTGTTCCTTGAAGTTTGCACTTTGAGTGTTTATTTCGTCTTCATGCCTTTCATTCTTTCTCCTTCATTTTTAAGCACTTGAACAGGTCATGGTCTCAGTGCAGTAGGTCGTGGCTTGGTAGCTGGTGCTGATATCAAACTTCTCTTTGACTAAACTCCACTGGCTCTAAACGTGCCTGTTTGGATTATCAGGGAGAGAAACATTTAA